GGAGACCCACCACTCTGTCTCGTGCTCTAGCTCTCGGTTCTATGGCTACTACGTCTCTGCCACTCCTCCGGGGTCACAGTTATCTGTCCCTGAGTTGTGGAGGTTCAAATATCAGGAATCTCTGGGTCCACAGGCCATCCACTCACTCCCGGCTCTTCTTTCTTGGTTGTGAGATTCCCCTCCTGCTTCAGAGATGACTCATTTTAAAAGCATTAGCGTTCCAGGTGTTTACAATGACTATTAACTCTGTTAACTATTCACAGCTGAATCATATAATTCTATCAGCTTCTTCTTCACTTTCTCTTACCGAGACCGTGCAAGGTAAACTTTGTTTGGTGGAAGTTGCAAAGACTATTGGTAAAAGAGTCATATGAAGTAATGTGCTGCACTATACCTACCTAAAATAAGTTTCTTCATCTAGACATGAAAATAGTATTTCCCCAACAAGGTCTTGGGGAGTCCAATGAAAAGTGTCTATGAAGGACCATTCTAATGTTAAATTATCTTGTTGTTGTTGTTGTTGTTGTTAGGTGCCATCGAGTCTGTTCCAACTCATAGCGACCCTATGCACAATAAAATGAAACAATCTTGATCCTGTGCCATCCTCACAATTGTTGTTATGCATGAGCCCATTGCTCCTGTCACTGTGCCAATCCATCTCATTGGGGAGCCTCTTCTTTTCTGCTGACCCTCCACTTTACCAAGCATAACGTCCTTTTCCAGGGACTGGTCCCTTCTGATAATACAGCTGAAGTATAAGAGACAAAGTCTCACTATCTATCCTTGCAATCTTCCAATACAAATTTGTCTGTTCTTTTGGCAGTCCATGGCACTTTCAATATTGTTCTCCCACACCATAACTTAGATGCATCAATTCTTCTATGGTCTTCTTTATTCATTGTCCAACTGTCACATGCATATGAAGTACTGAAAATACCATGACTTAGGCCAGATGCACCTTAGGCCTCAAAATGGTATCTTTGCCCTTAAACACTTTAAAGAGGTCTTGTGTAGCAGATTTGCCTAATGCAATACATTGATTACTTGACTGCTGCTTCCATGAGTGTTGGTTGTGGATCCAAGCAAAAGGAAGTCTTTGACAACTTCAGTCTTTTTTCTTTTATCCTGATCTTGTTTATTGATGTGGTTATGAGGATTTTTGTTTTCTTACATTGTAGTGCAATATATATCTTGGTTCTTCTAAAAGTGCAATGTCCCAAAGAGAACCCATAATGCACTGTACAACATAGCTGTAGTGTGATGTATAAGAAAATGAGTTTGTTATCCTTGGTATCCCCTGCCCTGATGCCAAGCATTGTATTGGCCTTTCTTTCTTCTTTTTTTTTAAATCATCAGAACATGTCACCAAAAATAGTATACAGTGATTCTGAGATCTCTTACCCCATGCGACTTACGGCATTCTGTCTTCTAGTGTTTATTTTACAGTTTTCTAAACCCACTGCATGTCATTACCAACATTGTAACTCATGTAATGATTTTCCCTGTTACCCAAAGGATTATTCTAATGACTTGCATTGTTCAGAAAGAACATTGTCTGTGAACTTAAAATTGTCATCCTTCATGTCTTCCAGATTAGTATAAAACTAATTCCAGCACTGATCCCTGGAGCTCTCTGCCACTTACGCTCTTCCACCTAGACAAGGGCATGTTATATCTACCCCTGCTTATCCCAAGAAGTCCTGGTGGTGACCGAAAAGCTGCTCTGTGGGAGAAAGATGAGGCCCTCTGCTCCTGTACAGATGGACAGTTTCAGAAACTCTAGGGAGCAGTTGTGCTCCGCCCTAGAGGGTTACTATGAGTCCGAATTGGCTAGTTGGCAGTGGTTGTTTTTTTGTAAGTTTAATCATCCCTAAGTCCTTAAGTGGTGCAATTAGTTAGGTGATCAACAACTAACTGAAAGGTTGGCAGTTTGAATCCACCCCAAGGTACATCAGAAGAGAAGCCTGGTGATTCACAGCCTGGGAAACACTGTAGGTGCTGGGTGTTTGCCACAAGGCATTTCTGACTCATAGCAACCCTGCACAGGGTTTCCTAAGCGGTAAATCTTTATGGGAGCAGAAAGCCTCATCTTTCTTCTGTAAAGCGACTGGTAGATTTGAACTGCTGCCCTTGCTATTAGAAGCTCAATTCGTAATCTGCTGTATTACCAGGGCTCCTTGAAAACACTATAGAGTACAATTCTGTTCTGAAAGACACAGTGTCTCTGTGAGCTGGAATCAACTCAAGGACAACTAGAAGTCTCATGATTGTGCCAACCGTTTACTCTCACGCATTCCACTATCCTCCTGTCAGTCAGCACCTTCATTAAATACCCTCCTATGTGCTCAGAAGGAGCCGTGCTGTTGCTTAAGCATTGAGTAGCTGCAAGGTTGATGGTTCAAACCCACCAATTGCTCCATGGAAGAAAGGTGAGGCTATCTACTCCAATAAAGATTTACAGTCTCACAAACCCTGAAGAACAGTTCTCCTCTTGTCCTGTCACGTTGTTATCAGTTGGAATCGACTCAGTGACAGTGAGTTGGATTTGTTTTTTGTTTTTATTTAGGTTATACCCAAAGTAGAGTTGTAGATTCTACCAGCATGCCGTTTATTAATTAAATCCCTGGTTTTGAACATCACCAGGACCTCTTTCAAAGACCTGGACAGGACTAACTTTCTCTCTTTAACAGTCTGCCTTGACACATGCTACCTCACACCGTGCTGGGGTTTCTTTTCACTAGAAGACTCCACTCCTCAGAATGAACAGCCTTATTTCTGATTGGAAGAACCTTCATTCTCCCCAAAAGTGCCTCGAGAACCTAATACATTGGCTAGTCCTCTCTTTGGAAACAAATGAGTACAAACTGTGTGACTTTAACCCCTCAGTACCCCCAAGATATGTCAGAAGACTGTCCATTAGACTCTCAGGATAACAGTGTCCTCCTAACAGTACTGTCCTAGCTGCCAGGGCCAAGTTCCCTTGAAATCTGGGAAACCCAGTTCAAATCCTCCTCCCATCCCCGAGGGCCCTGAGCGAGGCCTGTGGCCTCTTTAGTTTCTCTCTTAGCCTTCCATGTATAATCCTTCCACCAGCTCCCATTTTATCACTTCTGCTAGTTTCATTTTTCCTCAACGTTGGTCAGTCCAATGCATACGACACATTTTTACCTCCAGTTGCTCACTAGAAAGAATGGGTTGGGTCGCCATGTGTGAGGGGAAATGAGGTCAGCTATTGTCTAAGGTTGACATTACAGCTTGTTAGCGCATGCAGGACTGAAAGGTGACAGGAGCTAAGATTGCCAAGCAAAGACAGCTTAGGGGATGCATTACTAAGATTTCCAAGGAAAGAGGGCTTAGGGTTCACTTGAGTTCTTCATTTTTTGCTAAATATTTGTCTTTAAATTCTCTGGAGGATAAGACTCAAAACTGCTTTCTCAGTTACAGAATGCCCACTGGTTTAGGGAAAGAATGAGAGGATGGGTGTGGCAGCCCAGCCACTGTGAGTAGCAGGTGTTAGGTGTGTGTGCACACATGTGTGTGAGCCTGCAACCCCATGCAGACTGTCGTGATGGGCAGCTTCTTCTGTCTCCTCAGTGAAGTACCTAGAATAGCGCCATCACACTCTGGGAGTACATACTACTTTTGTGGTTGGCTTGTGTTCAGAGAACCTTGATAAGTAGTCTGTGTGCCCTGCAATACCTTATAAGGAATCTAGAATTGGCATCAACTTTTTTTCCCTCAGGAAAGAAAGCTTAATAGTTAACAAAAACACACAAAAGTTGAAAATTCAAATCAGAAGTGCTTTAGAATGCATACCGCAAAGTCACTGTTTTTCTCATTAAGTCAAGGAAATAAAGTGTTTTCCTCACTGGGGCAAGAGGGAGGCACAACCAGACCAAAACCAGAAAGCCATAAAGACACTGGATTTATATGAGCTTAATTATACCATTTGGGAAGGGAACTGATGGTGTCAACCACAGACAGGCATCACTGAGACTGCTGCTACGGGATGCCATCAGCCTGTCTTTAAGACATCACAAAACCTGACTCTACAGCTAAGCATCCCATCCTCTTCACATCACTATGTACCAGAAGTTAAAACGTTCTCAATTTGAGATTCAAAATTGTAGTCTGTTTCATTTTCCATTAAGAAATTTCAACTCTAGAATGAAGTCGCATTCTGAAGCTTGCATGGATATGTATACTGCTGCAACCAGTAAAATAAAAAGCAAATCTAACATTTTAATGAACCATCATTGTTTTGCTGTATTGTAAAGCATCATAGTAGGTAGATGAACATAAATGGCTGGCGATTGTAAAGGGAGTAAAAACCTAAGACATACTATAAACAGAAAATGGAGAATTTGAGGGCAAGTTAAATGTACCTCAGTGATCAATTCAAATATTAGCATGAAGCAATCAGTGGGAATCAAGGTGATGTCAGAGGCAGATTTTAGGGACCAAGATAAGAAGGCTGGCCTTGAACAATTTACATATGAAATTATGCAAGTGTTTTAGAAGGGGGAGGTACCCAGGAAGAGCTAGAATTTGAATAGCCAAAGCATGTGCAGAATAACATAGTGAGGATGCATGCATTTCATTCTGACTGGCCCTCAGTAGTTGTGTGATTTTGTATGAATCATTTAAATCCCCTCCCTAAATTACAGTCCTGTCATCTTTGAAATGCAAGTCCTAGTAAGTGGTACTATTTATCAGACAAAGGAAAGAGCATGTCTGTAGTCAAAATTGTTAATTGTGTAAAGCTGTTGATAATGATAATCTGTTTTAATTGATTATTTGAAATTTTTCTAACAAAAAGAGAGTTGTTATTGTTTTCTATTTAAAATACAAATATGCCAGAATCCACCATTTTTGCTCAAAATAGTATGACATTTGGATTATAGAGCTGTAGATAATTACTTATAAAATTTTTATATGTCCTAAAAGTATGTTCTTCCAATTTAAATATTATTAACTCATGGTAATTTTTAATTTCCCAGTACTCCCAATTTGGAAAAGCAACCAAATGAAAATGGATTATCTATTCAGAATGAAACCTTTGAAGAAATTATAAACTTACCTGTTGGATCTAAACCATCCAGATTAGATGTCACCAACAGTGAGAACCCAGAAATTCCTTTGAATCCAATTTTGGCCTTTGATGATAAAGGGCAACTTGGGCCGCTGCCTCAGGTAGATGGTGTTCAGACACAACAGACTGCAGGTAAGTTTGACTCAAACTCCCTCTGTAATCATCAGAAATACGTAGCACGTAAGAGTGAATGAACTTCTGCCTTCTGTATCATAATCTGTGTCCCACTTTATCCTGTGAAGGAATCCAAGGGACCAAATAGGCCATCCTAGAGACGATTGTGTGTGAATACTAGAAATTGAATTTCAAGGTAGATTGGATAATTTCAGAGGCCCCTCCTATAATCTCACTCAGTGCAGAAATCCACTCTTTATAACCCAGTGGGTAGTCCTATGCCTCTTACAGAACAGCTCTCCCCACCACCCAACAGCACTCACTGCCAGGAAATGCTTCATATTAAGACAAGGCTGCCTCAGGTGGGTAGTACAGTTTCTCCCTCACCAAGTAACCAAAAGGTTGGCAGTTTGAACCCATTCAGCAGCATGGTGGGAGAAACAGACCTAAAAGATTACAACCAAAAAAACCCCTCTGGAGCAGTTCTACTTTGTTAACTCATGGAGTCTTCCTCCCCTTAACTTCTGACCACTGGGTCTAATTGTGCCCACTGGAGAAAAAGGTTTGCCTTTCCTCCCTTTCGCAGCATTTCAGATATTTGAAGATAGGACATTATGTTCTCCAACCATTTTTCTCTTGTTTGGGCTTGACAGTTTGTATAGTGTATTCCTGTTCTTTTTAAAGATAGATATTATGGAGTCCTGGAGTGGCACTGTAGGATAATGCACTAGACCATGAGGTCGATTTGAACCACAAGGTCAGTGGTTCTAAGTCACCAGTCGCTCTTTGGAAACCCTATATAAGCTCACTATGAGTCAGAACTAACTCACCGGCACTTAACCACAACAACAGTCATGATTTAGATCATGGATCCAGTACTCCAAACTAGGATCATACTGAGCCCCCAGGTCTTCTATACTTTGTTGAATGAATGGGGTTGCTGTTGAAACTGCCTGTAGGCCTCTATGATATTGTCTCTGGAACTCACACTTGACCAGAGGTCTTCATACAACAAGACCCAGAAGTTTACAGGACCCTAAAAATTAAGGCGCTACGTCAAGTGTTGCAAACCCAGTGGTCATAGCAATTCAACAGCATAATCCCATCATAGACTCAAAAGTAGGTGGGGTGATCCCAGCTCCATCTTCCTTTACATATTGATTTGACCAACATCTCTTTACAGTATTAAGAGTAGAGCTGGCCAGATTCTAGCATATAGGGTCCATATAGAATCATAAGTGACCATATTGTTTTACATGTTAGATCCCATCTGTGATCTTGTAACGAATGTTTTCCACTTCAACTGGTTGAGAAAGACAGTGTTGAACCACCCATCTGATGTATGTTGTTGTTGTTGTTAAGTGCCTTCGAGTCGGTTCCGACCCATAGCGACCCTGTACAGGGTTTCCGAGGGTGTAAATCTTTACGGGAGTAGAAAGCCTCATCTTTCTCCCACGGAGCGGCTGGTAGTTTCGAACCGCTGACCTTAAGGTTCGCAGCCCAATTCGTAACCACTACGCTACCAGAGCTCCTTATCTGATGTATGTTGTTGTTGTTAAGTGCCATCGAGTCGGTTCCGACCCATAGCGACCCTGTACAGAGTTTCCGAGGGTGTAAATCTTTACGGGAGTAGAAAGCCTCATCTTTCTCCCGCGGAGCGGCTGGTAGTTTAGAACCGCTGACCTTAAGGTTCGCAGCCCGATTCTTAACCACTGTGCTACTAGAGCTCCTTCTGGTGTATATCTGATGTATATTAACCTTGAAAGAATAACAGTCTCAGTGAACACTGCTTCTCTGGGCAGAAAAAGGAAGTTGTCAAGTTTCTTCCAGGTTCTGATTAAGTCTCTGGGAACAATCTGATGAGTTTTTATTGATGGAAATACTCCCAGGACAGCTTCTCTGTCGTATCACAAATTCATAGAGCAGGAACTTCAGATGACTTTTTGCTTCATTTGCCAGGCCTTACATCACCTTGATGTCAATATTTCAGAGATTTGAGTCTTTGGTCATGCCATTCCCACTGATCCCACCCTTCTGTGCATTCTCTGGGAACAGTCCAGAGCCTTTGTCCTGGAGTGGTGTCAGAGGTCTTTGGGGACCATGATTACTTATTAACAAACATTTATTTAGCCATTAATATGTTTGGAAGGGAGCATGGTGGCTCCATAACGATAAGCACTGGACTGCAAACCACAAGGTCTGTGGTTCAAGTCCATCAACTGCTCTAAGGGAGGAAGATGAGGCTGTCTGCTCCCTTGAAGATTTAAAGCCTCAGAAAACTTATGAAGGGCCACTTGAGTCAGAACGGACTCCACAGCACTGAACAACAACAGTATGTTTGGAACTTTAAACATCAAAGGCACGAGACAAATAAATATAAAGCCTTAAAGAAAAATACAATTGATATATGCAATTTAGAAAAATGGAATGTTAAAGAACTTTTTTTTTCTATTAGTAGAATTCATTTGCATGTACAAACACTGAACTTTGATTAAATTGTCTTATATTTTATATAAAACTGTATGTGAGAGTATGGCAAAGCTTTAAAACTCTTGATTATTTTAAATATTCTTTACATATGGTTTCAAATAAATGTCACATTAATCTGTTGTGTTTTTTTCTATTTCCTAATATAGAAGTTATATGAGCATTTCTTCGGGATAACCAAAGCAGAAATTTAGTAAGAATTTCTACGTTAATGGAATTCCTTCCATGCTGTAAAGGAGCATCCCTTCCCCCCTCCAGTTTTCTAAAGATTTCTTGAACATCATTTTGAAAGACTTCATTAAAACCAGCTAAAGACAACAGACTGGATAGCTTTTCTAATAATTTTCGCCAATAGAAAAAGAAAATGTTCCTTTTCCTTCGACACTTCAATGCCTTTTTCCAGTGTGCTACTTCTTAGCAAATCAATCTTTTTCTGTATTCTTCAAAAGACAAGACCATTTGGCTATAAAAGAAATGAGCTGACTAGGCATGATTTTTCACATAGATATTTTGGTCTTAAAAATCAATGTAAGATTGGCACCAAAAAAAAAAAAAAAACCTTTTACAATACATAGCACTTGAAAAAGAAGTACCTCTTTGCTCTCAAGTGAATCAGGGAAGTGTTTAAATTATGTTTATAAATTAAGCTGCTTTGTTTCAATATCGCAAAGAGCTCTATTTGTAGAGGCAAATTATAAACAGATTACCAGATTCTTGTAAATGCAACTTAATACATGGACATTCTGCAAAAACCCAGCTGTCATTGCATTCTTTGTGCATCTCCTTTTGCGAAAGCATACTAAAAAGTTTTAAAATGTGAAAAAAGCATTATTTTTTCAGAGCAAGAAAATAATTTACTATCCTCTTAAAAATGTATTTATAAAGTTTTTTTTCAGATAAACTAATCAAATAAATTAGGAAAAGGTGATAACATTTCAAATCTGATTTATTAGATGCGTTTCTTATGTTACCATGAGAGAATGTTACTGATGATGATTCAGGGCTATTTCTGAAGTCTGTATATTGCTGCTGTCCCCAATGATAGCGGGACTTATCTTTGCCTTACCTGATGACAAATTATGTGGGGCGGGGGTTGGGGGGAATAAAGATTTAATATTTCTTTAAATTAAAAAAATAATAATAATTTGGTTTTGCTCGTTTAAGAGCAACTAAAAGAAAAGATGGAATGTTGATTCTGTGTGGCACATGGGACACGGTTCAGGTTGCCTGTGAGTGTCCTCATTCTGCCTAGCGCCCGCCAGCTTTTCACATTCTGCTCATCTTCACTTTGGCGGCTGAGCGTAGCTGTACAAACTTGCACTTTCTTTTACTATTATAAATTCAACTTTATTTACCATGTTACAGACAACTAACTAAATATTGAAGGAGAGGCATCACTGAGGGAACACATGTTCTTATAGTATTCAAAAAGATGAATGTCTACCACTGTGGTATGTTGTTTTTATTAAAATGATTTGGTTAATCTAGATCGAATGAGAGACTCTTCATCGATTGGATAATTTCTTTAAAATTCAAGTAGATCCTCTTCAGTAACAGCTGTAATTTGTTAAAGCAATTTGGGGGTTTTCCTACTTTCAGCTGCCCATGTGTACACAAAGTCATTATATTAAAAAAAAATTTTTGTTCAAAAAGCTGTTTTTATTTTCATCGACCTACCATGAAATAGGAGTCCTGGTGTGGCACTGTGGGTTAAAGCGCTGGACCACAAAGTCGGTTTGAACCACAAGGTCCACAGTTCAAACTCACCAGCTGCTCCTTGGAACCCCCTATACAGTGTCACTATGAGATGGAACTGATAACAGCCCTTAGCAACAATAGATCATGAAATAAAGGAGCTTTTGTGGTGCAACAAGTCAACACTGGGCTTCTCACGGAAAGGTCAGCAGTTGGAAGCCCCCCGTGACTCTGAGATAGAAAAATCCTGGCCATCTGCTCCTGTAAAGTGTCCAGCCGTGGAAGCCCTATGAACGGACTCACTGGCACTCAACAACAAAGCATGAAATATGAAATAAAATGTTTGTCATAGGTACTGCTGTTAGGTTTCTCCTGCATTATAACTTTAACCAGGCTGAGTCTTGAGTTTTCAAGCAGCCGTTGGTTTTTCCTCAATGACATTTCCCCATCTTCCTGTTGAACAGGCCTATTAAAAAATTTATTTGAAAATTAGAGCAATTTCTATCTTTGTTAACTTTCCATTCTGTATTTTAATTGTACAATCATTATCAAGACCTTAAAACTGTTTAAGTAATCTATTTTTCAATAGAAAGCGTATATAAATTTCTCTATTTTGTGAACAAGGAGGCAAAAAAGATGGAATGTTGATTCTGTGTGGCACATGGGACACGTGCAGGTTGCTTGTGAGTGTCCTTGTCCTGCCTAGCGCCCGCCAGGTTTTCACATTCTGCTTGTCTTCACTTTTGCTGCTAGAAGGTGCCCGTGGCCTTTATAATGGCTGGATTGCTTGCAGTCCAGCACTTGAAGATGGATAGTCCACTGATCTTAAGGGGGCTTGCGTCAGGATACTACATGAAGGGGAACATCTGACCCTCGCCATGGAATGAGGGTAGATGGACTTTTAGTTTTCTTTACTGACTGTTGAGGCCAATTTAATCATCAATCACAGTTTCATTTGGTAGGTAG